GAAGGAATACGTATCAATTTGAAACACACTACATGGGAGACCTACGATTACCTGGCGTATTACTTCGATGCTGTTAAAAGGAAGAAACGTAAGCAAGGACGACGAAAAGAAACAGGACCAAATTCCTATTGCTGGTGTGACAGATATCTTGAGCACAATGAAGACAAATGTGACATTTGTGAAAAACGATTGCGGAGTTGAGAAGCAGTCTCAATAATATCACGAGACGAAATCTGGGACATTCGTTGCAACCTGGTTCAAGGAAGATATGAGAAGTTTAAAGAGAACTAGTATAAACTCCAAATTGATAAAATCCTTGAGGAATTTTCAGGCCTGGTGGCAAACGACCTCTCACAACTCGGAAGGACTAGTCTTTATTAGCACACTATAGACACTGGCGAAGTGAAGCCAGTTAAATTACATCCGTACTGTACCTCTCCCTAACATTTGAAATTTTTGAAAGAGGAAATAGACCGCATGCTGAATAACAAATTAATTCAGAAGTCTTTCAGCTCTTGGTCCACGCCTACAGTAGTGATCAATAAAAAGAACGGAAAGTTTAGACTTTGCGTCAACTATAGAAAATTAAATGCTGTTACGAAACCCGATGCTTATCTTGTCCCACGGATAGCTGATATACTGGATACTTTGGGACATTCTGCCTTCTTCTCTATACTAGACCTGATGTCAGAATTCTGGCAAGTAGAAGTGGCACAAAAGGACCGCAAAAAGACTGCCTTCACCACGACATTTGGGATATATAAATTCCTCGTGATGCCCTTCAGACTCGTCAACACTTCTGTAACATTCTAGCGAGTGATAGACAGAGTCTTCCACGAGGTCATTTGGAAGTTCGTGCTCATATATATATATGACATTATCATCTATTCAAAGACCTGTGAGAAATACGCAGAACATATAAGGACCGTTTTCACCCTTTTGAGGAATGCAGGACTGAAAATAAATATGAAAAAGTGTGACTTCTTCAAAATCAAGTTATCATTTTTAGGTCATGTCATAACAGTCAAAGGAATGGCTCTTGACCTAACGAAAGTAGAAAAGGTGCAGTATTATCTCATTCCGGTGGATAAAATGAACGTTCGCGTGTTTCTTGAGCTAGCGTCTTACTACAGGAGATTTGTAAAAGGATTCACGACAATAGCAAAGCCACTGCATAACCTAACAAAAAGGGATGTCTTATTTAAATAGAACCACGAATACCAACTCGCTTTCGACTCACTCAAGAAACACCTAATATCGACGCCTATCATGACCTACCTAGACTTTTCGAAACGATTCACGCTTGTCACCGATGCTTCCGACTGGGGTATTGGAGCTGTGCTCTCCCAAAAAGATAAAGAGAACCATGAACATCCCGTCGCCTATGCCAGTCGTCTTTTAATCACCGCAGAACAAAACTACACCGTCGTCAAGAGAGAATGTCTTGTCACCATTTGGGCCATACGATATTTCAGGTACTACCTTCACGGTATTACCATGGGTTTCCTCCACTTTCATAATTTCTTATTATTTTATTTTATTTTATTCTTATTTGTATTTATTTTATTA